TCGGCCAGTGGGAGTCCCCCTGCCTCCTTCCAACAGACGAAGTGCTCCCCCGTGCGTAGTGAGAGAACGCCTTTCTCTACCGGCTCGCTCAAGAGACCCATGAAGCCGCAGGGACAGGATATTGTCAGACTCAAAGATAATAGTCTTCAGAGGAACCGAAGTGCTAGCTTATCGTCCGTCAGGGGCAAGAGAGAGAGTTCGGTCTAACAGGGGAATTTAGTTTATGCTTTACTTTCTCTCTTTCTCTCTATCTATTTCTTACTCTCTCTCTCTCTGTCTCTCTCCCTCCCTCTGTCTCTGTCTCTGTCTCTGTCTCTGTCTCTTGTCTCTGTCTCTCTCTCTCTGTCTCTGTCTCTGTCTCTGTCTCTGTCTCTCTCTCTCTCTCTCTCTCTCTCTCTCTCTCTCTCTCTCTCTCTCCTCTCTCTCTCTCTCTCTTTTCCCTTTCCCATTCCCCTTTTCTTTATCCTTATCTCTCTATCTATCTATCTATCTCTTTTCTAATATGTCTGTATCTATCTATCCATCTATCTATCTCTCTATCCATTTCGCCTTGTACTGTAATTATAGAAACTACCCAACTACCTACCCGTCAGTCAACATGTCGATTGTTTCCGTTATGTATATCTGCCTTTCAATCTATCTTTATCTGAATTTCCCATTTTTAAGAATTTTATCTAGTAAAAATTTCATTTACCCACTTCTCAAAAATACTCTGAGTTTTAGCTGTAGTAAAAGAAACATTTGTACATGTATTTTGAATAGAATTTTCTTTCATACCTTTATATATACCATAAAAAGAGGATATTTTCCGTAGAGTCTTTCAGACAAAAGTTGTATGTGGCCGAGGTGTGTTTTGAATGTTTATATCGAGTAAAAAGTAAATATTCAGTATCAGTGGATTGTATAAGGTTGTTGGGAAAATAAGAACAAAGTACTTATTCCATGATTTTGGTTGAAGTTTATCTTTTTGTGGATTTTGTGTACTCAGATTCCCTTTTCTAGATACATAACAAACTCACAAAAATATCTCCTGTGTATATTTGTACATCGTATATAAATGTATCTGTACACAGCAGGGATTGCACATCAGTAGATCTTCCAGGGTTCTGTAAATGTACACCCCTGACGGCAGTACGTGGGAACAGATACAATTTCTGTGGAGTGACTCTTGACATGAAAATTGCGAAATAGTAATTGTACAAAACTTTGTATTTCTCTCTCTCTCTCTCTCTCTCTCTCTCTCTCTCTCTCTCTCTCTCTCTCTCTCTCTCTCTCTCTCTCTCTCTCTCTCTCTCTCTCTCTCTCTCTCTCTCTCTCTTTCCTGTCTTTCTCTCCCTCTGCCTCTCTCATGAATGAGAAAATACAGTACCACACACTCATCTTTCTTCAGTGATAAAAGTCCTCTTTTTATACAGTTTATACGTACTCGTGTATTTGAATGATCAATATCATTATTCGCCAATAATAGATTCCGCAAAAAAATGAACAGAACAGAACTACGAGTAAATAGAAATGTGATACCCATTTTGATTTAGATTTTTTTACAGGCAATTCTCTTCGAAAACGAGTAAGGACAATCACTCCAGACCAAACTTTCCTCTAGCTGGAAAATACTCATAATGTTCAGTGTTTTCGTGAATCTGTCAGTATATATGAATCTTTTGTTTGTTTGTTTGTTTGTTTAGGAAATGCTAGTAACCCCAATCTTTAACTTTTCGACATCTTGAAACTCATTTTTATTTCGTAGGCTAGTCGAAACGCGTTGTATTCAGCATTTTTATACAAGGCAATTACTTAGCCACTTATCGAAATCGAAGTGATATTTTCATCGCTGCAATTGCACTTGGCATAGACGCAGCTATATCAACCATCATTATTATTTCCTTGTTTACATACAGTATCATTTCGACACTTTTTTTTTTTCGTCGCGCCCTTCCATCTTTAGTGTCACTCCATCGTCCTTTTTTTTCCTTCTGCAGAACCGGTCCTCCTACAAAAACATTTTCCTGAGATAACCTGATATTTCTTATCCTCTCTCTCCCTCCACCTCGCTACTACTCCGTCATCTCCTCCACCACCACCATGCCTCACCTCTTCCACCCATCCACCACACTTTATTAACTCTAAGACTCTTTCATTTCTTTAGGTAATCCACATCCTGCCACCTCATCTCTACCTCATCACTTACGACTCATTATCCCATTCATCACGTCAATTCCTACAATGCATGATAACCTAGTGCATTGTGGGAAATACTTGTGACGTTTAGTGTATATATTTATAAACATATCTGCATTTTTTTGCAGTGTTCTGTACATTTAACTCTTTAGAATGGATGTACACCGGTGTGAACGTATTTTTGCGTATATAGTAAGTGTGACGTCACTCCCTTTGAGTCCTTAACAGTGTTGGTTAGCGAAACATTTTGATACTGATGAGCCTGAAGAAAATCGTCAATACAGAAAAAAAAATGTAGAAAAAGTGGTGTATGAAGAATAATACATGAAATATTAAAAAAAGACAAAAGTTTAATATGCTGTTTTCTTGTCCTACAAACACGCTACTAATAATGGGCAGATTTATACATTCATATATGGATACAGTATATTTATGTATGGTTTTATGGGCGTGTAGGATGCAGCAGTGGAAACAAGTTCTTGCATCCCTTTTGGGTGATGTCTGAAGCAGAACGAACTTATACCTTGCAGCAGTTTTAACTTTTTTTTTCTACATAACTTCTTAGTTAAAGATAAGCTTAAAAGTCGCGCTACATCCAACCAACTAATTATACCGAAGGGTTTGAAAGATTATAACTTTGATAATAACAGAAACTCACAGTTTTGCATTACTGGATATTGGCGTTCGAATTCTTGCTATTTGTGTTTATATTTGCGTTATGCATACAGTGATTATCACACTGACTGCTAAACTATGATAGAACGTATTGTAATCCTTTCCTGATGTATTACCAAATTGACAATTTAAGTGCTGTAATCACTTATTTTTGACTACGAACAAGACAAATTAAGATTAAGTGGAAATTGATGTGTTACGGCATACGGCATGATAGCGATGTCTTTTGTCTCCTAATGCCACAGAAAGAATACAAACTGCCTGTTTAAAGTCTGAGGCTTGAGAAAAAGGCGTAACCCACACTCGATGTTAAGGTTCGTCTCTATTCAGTGATGACATAGATACCAAATTTTCAAAGACGTACTTGATTTTTTTCTCTCTAATTATTCGGATATCTAGTAATAAATGATTTTCGATATTTTCATCTATTTCACTGTTTTTTTTTTTTGTTTTGTTTTCTCGTTGCTATATTTCCTTTCGTCCTTCGTAAGCACATTTTCTGTTTCATATCCTTCATTTTGACTCTGCCATTTTATTCGGTTTCCTGTGTATTGTTTTCGTACTCTATTTGTTTGTGTTTTCGACTCAGAAAAAAGAGTTCTGTGTTTAATAAATAATTTGTGAAATCAACCTGTCAAAAAAAAAAAAAAAAAAATCTAGCGCTGTATTTGAAGACATTTTTTTAGTAGTATAGAAGGAAACCGTTTTTTTCTCTCTCTATTCTTTCCTTTTCTTTCTCTTTCTTTTTACATTATCGTAGTCATTAAATCGTACTCAACTTTATACTTAATTCTTAGTGCCCAGACATATATGCCTTGCTGTTGAAATCTATGTCGTTCTATTATCTGCGACTCTTAATATAGTCAATTGTTTACACAAGTTCATCTACGCTGTACCTTCCTGAAAGTGTTTGTTTGTTTGTTTTTCTGATTTTTATTTTTTTAATGTTTCTATATATATATATTTTTTTTCTCTCTCGTGTCATTTTTGTGCTATATTTTCCAATTGTGTCCTTACCAACGTTCACATTAAACTATTATAGAATGTTTTTTTATGCATGCAAGCAAAATACCAAAGCAAAGGCCAAGGAAACAGATGGTTATTTCAAATGTTTTCTTCACGAATTTCTTTACAACATTCATCTGCTACATTTTACAGTATTCATTAAGATCACGAAGTTCAATTTCTTCCTTTGTTCTTAGGAAGTTGACATTTATGACTCAAGCCACACGATCTGATATATCTGCAAAATTATTTACATTAGCTCGGAATACTCCTTCATTTTTTTTTCTCTATTAATTGCCAGATAAAATACAATACAATGCTATATCATTTGTATTTAAATCTTTGTGCGGTAAAATATGTCGATTTTTTCCTTCATATACATATATATATAATATATAGATATATATATATATATATATATATATATATATATATATATATATAGATAGATAGATAGATAGATAGATAGATAGACAGATAGATAGATGTAGATAAAGATATAGATATATATGTGTATATACATATATATGTATATATGTATCCACACCACACACACAACACACACACACACACACACACACACCACACACACACACACACATATATATATATATATATATATATATAT